AATATCCAACCTAAACCTCCCCCACTGCAACTTGAGACCATTACTCCTTGTTCTGTCATCTGCTACCACTGAGAACAGTCTAGATCCATCCTCTTTGGAACCCCCTTTCAGGTAGTTGAAAGCAGCTATCATATCCCCCTCACTCTTCTCTTCTGCAGACTAAATAACCCCAGTTCCCTCAGCCTCTCCTCATAAGTCATGTGCTCCAGCCCCCTAATCATTTTTGTTGCCCTCCGCTGGACTCTTTCCAGTTTTTCCACATCCTTCTTGAAGTGTGGGGCCCAAAACTGGACACAGTACTCCAGATGAGGCCTCACCAATGTCGAATAGAGGGGAATGATCACGTCTCTCGATCTGCTGGCAATGCCCCTACTTATACAGCCCAAAATGCCATTAGCCTTCTTGGCAACAAGGGCACACTGTCGACTCATATCCAGCTTCTCGTCCACTGTAACCCCTAGGTCTTATCTGTTGTGCTATGTGCTCCCAGCATGATGGGACCTCTGGGGACATAGGCCCAGTGGTGAGAAGGCAGCTGCTCCCTAGAAAAGCCCCCAGGCAGGAGGACCAACCCTCCTCCACGGGGCTGAGGCGGAGGCTGCCTGGCTGAGGGAACGGCTCAGGTCTCGGGCTGAGCTCAGCTCGGCACGTGGCTGCTCATTGAGCTGCTTGTCTGGCTGGGGGCTGCCAACCCAGGGTCCTTAGTGAGGGGAGGGGTTAGGGGAGAGGCTGTAGCCAGCCCCTAGTGTCCTGAGAGGAGCACGGCCCCCTGGCTGCTGGCTGAAGCCCAGCTGGAGCTGCCATCAGCCTCTGAGCCAATGACCCATGGGAACAAAGGTTCATTGCGGCCCTGCCGGCATCCCTGGCTGCTGGGGCTGGTGATAGGCGAATAGGGTCAGCCCAATGGGTCTGATAGCATCCAGCCAGCTCAGGGACACATACACACCCCTGCCCTTCATCAGCTCAGTCCATGGTCCCAAAGGGGGTGCAGCAGGGCTGTGGGGTGAAGGGGACAATGAGGGAGGTGGTCCAGGGGAGAAACAGGTCAGGGGGACTCATAAGGACTAAATGGCCAATGTTCTTGGAGGGCCTATGGAAAGAAGCAGAGAGTGTGGGGCAGATACCATTGTGGGGGTGCATGGCCGTGAGACTAGTGGGATTTCAGGGGTGGGGGGAAATTTGGAGAATGGTGCGGGGGTGTGTGTGAAAGAGACAGGAATAGAACCCAGGAGTCCTGGCTCCCAGCCCTCTTCAGACCCTGCTGTAGCCACAGGATCCCACCCCGCTCCTAGAGCCGGGGATTACAACTAATAAGTAGGGAGTTTTAAAGATGCCAAGCTCTGTACTGTGAAGGCCCCACGTGACTGCCGAGCTCCCGCGGTTCGTGGGTCGCAGGCACTGCCCCAGGTGCAGTGTCTGTCACTCCGCAGGCCCAGCCCAGGCTGCAGATGCTGCTTGCGCCCCGTGTCCTGCCTGTCCGTGACTCGCTCGGAGCAGAGCCTGCTCTGCGTGAGGGGCCTGGTGGCTCAGCGCCTGGTCCCTGTCGTGTGGCTCCTTCACCCTGTTCACTGAGCCTGTCCTGCTGCCCCAGCAGCCGGCCTCCTGGCTGCTAGGGAGGAGCCTGGAGCAGGGTGTCCAGCAGGGCTCTGCCTCGTCTGACGGGGGCTCCTTTCACAGGGGGATGCTCCAGTGCTCCTTAGGAAACAGCCTGTGGAGCAGGCAGGTGCTGGACAGACCCACGTTCCTGCGGCTGCCCCTTTCCAGGCTAATAAGTGCTGCAGCTCCAGCCGGGGCTCTGATACCAGTAGCCCTGCACTCCTTCCCTGTGTCCTGTACCGTGTGTGTGTGAGAGCGCTGGCATACCGCCCCAATACCGCCACCCATACCGTGTCTGAGCGCTAATGCCGGGTTGCGCCCATCTCTGCCCCCCTGTGCCGTGTGCGTGTCTCAGCACTAAACCCTGGGCCTGCCCCATCTCTGCCCCCCTGTGCCGTGTGTGTGTCTCAGCACTAAACCCTGGGCCTGCCCCATCTCTGCCCCCCCGAGTCGTGTGTGTGTCTCAACACTAACCCCTGGGCCTGCCCCATCTCTGCCCCCCCGAGTGATGTATGTGTCTCAGCACTAACCCCCGGGCCTGCCCCGTCTCTGGTCTCCCCCACAGCTGCCATCGCACCCAAGGACTACGTGTTCTATGGCTTCCTGAAGCCCTGGCTGGGTGAGTGCGCTTTCTTCTGGGGTTGGATCTGTTGTGCTTAGTGTCATGGGGCCCGGACCCCAGGGGACGGCCTTGTGGGGAAAGGAGGGTGTGACATTCCCCTCTGGTGTTATCCGGACCGGTGATCTGCTAGGTCATTCCAATCCTTGACTCTGGGAGCCAGCCTTATCCTGCTCTACTGTGAGAACCCCCACTCCTGGGCTGTTCACGCACAGCCTCTGGCATGTCACTGCTCCTTGGACTATGCAACTGAATGACACTAGCCAGTATCTGTGGTTCCAGACACAAACCTAGGAACCTCTGTCTTGCAGTGTCCAATTACGCCTGCTGGATGCTGCAAGCTTATATAAGTTCATCAATTTAATAAAGAAATTGATATGTACCAGGCTTGTTCTCCCAAGGGGAGTCTCTGACACGCTTCAAACCAAACGCACTGCTTCAGATAGAATAAACAAACAGATTTATTAACTACAAAGATAGATTTTAAGTGATTTATAAGTCAAAGCAAAACAAGTCGGATTTGGTCCAATGAAATAAAAGCAAAACGCATTCTAAGCTGATCTTAGCACTTTCAATGCCCTTACAAACTTAGATGGTTCTCACCACAGTCTGGCTGGTTGCTCTTCAGCCAGGCTCTCCCCTTTGGTCAGTGCTTCAGTCGCTTGGTGGTGGTATCTGTAGATGGAGGTGGACGAGAGAGGAAAAGCATTGTAAACGTCTCTCCCTTTTATCATGTTGTTTCTTCCCTCTTGGCTATATTGCCCCCCCCCCTCGGGGTCAGATGAGCATTACCTCATTGGAGTCCCTGACTGACCAAAAGAAGGGGGGTAACTCACCAAAGTTCCCTCACCAAAGGCTTGTAAGCAAAGTAAGCTGTCATGGGATAAGAGGGAAGGTCCTTTCTGGATCAGTAACTGGCTAAAAGACAGGAAACAAAGGGTAGGAATAAATGGTCAGTTTTCAGAATGGAGAGAGGTAAATAGTGTTGTCCCCCAGGGGTCTGTACTGGGACCAGTGCTATTCAACATATTCATAAATTATCTGGAAAAGGGGGTAAACAGGTGACAAAATTTGCAGATGATACAAAACTGCTCAAGATAAGTCCAAAGCCAACTGCAAAGAGTTTCAAAGGGATCTCTCCAAACTGGGTGACTGGGCAACAAAATGGCACATGAAATTCAATGCTGATAAATGCCAAGTAACGCACATTGGAAAACATAATCCCAACTATACATACAAATGGATGGGGCCTAAATTAGCTGTTACCACTCAAGAAAGAGATCTTGGCGTCATTGTGGATAGTTCTCTGAAAACATCCACTCAATGTGCAGCGGCAGTCAAAGAAGTGAACAGAATGTTGGGAACCCTTAGAAAAGGATAGATAATAAGACAGAAAATATCATATTGTCTCTCTATAAATCCATGGTACACCCACGTCTTGAATCCTGCGTGCAGGTGTGGTCGCCCCATCTCAAAAAAGATATACTGGAATTGGAAAGGTTCATAAAAGGGCAACAAAAATTACTAGGGTTTGGAACAGCTTCCGTATGAGGAAAGATTAAAAAGACTGGGAGTTTTCAGCTTGGAAAAGAGACGATTAAGGGGAAATATGGCCACTGTCGGCAGACAGGACACTGGGCTGGATGGACCATTGTGCTGACCCAGTCTGTCCATTCTTATGTCGGTGTGGAGCTGGAGCTACTCATGCCAGAGCCGTGAGCACCAGCACATGGGTGTGCACCATGCACCTTTCTGCACATACCATCACGCACCTGCACATACACACACGCATGCACCTGCATGTTCATGCCCACATGTGCCCCACAAACACACACACATACGTCACTCACACCCCCACCCACGCTCCTTGCACACATTGCACACATGAGCACACACTCTCGTGCCTGCCCAACATGCACCAGGGAGGTTGGTTCTCGCTGAGCTCCCCAGCTGGCTGTGACCCAGAGGGCTGCTGGGGGCCTGGGCTACGGGATCTCTGCCATGGCTGCCAGGCTCTGAGCCGAGTGCCTGTCATCTCAGGGGACGGTTTGCTGCTGAGCAATGGTCCAAAATGGGTGCGGCACCGGCGCATGCTGACACCAGCCTTCCACTTCGACATCCTGAAGCCCTACATGAAGATCTTCAACCAGAGCACTGACATCATGCATGTGAGTACCTCCCCTCCCCCCACTGCACCAAATCCATGCCTGTGCCTCTGGCTCCTCCCACAGCATATACTGCCCTGGCACCCCCCAGCTTGCCCGTGACCCTCTCCCCATGGCACACACTGCCCTGGCAATCTGCCACCGCCCAGCCTGCCCATGCACCCTCCCTGCATGGCACACACTGCCCTGTCACCTGCCACCCCCAGCCTGCCTGTGACCCTCCCCGCACAGCACACGCTGCACTAGTGCCCTCCTCCAATGGCATGTGCTGCACCAGCACCCTGCCCTCACCCCTGCCTCCCCCACACCCTATGGAATATGCTGCACCATCACTACGCTGTGCCCCTGGCCCTGCACCTCCCCCACCAGGGCATATACTGCACCGATACCCTGCCCACTGATCTTGCACCTGCCCCCACCGCATGCCCCGCCCTTTCACTACACCAGTCCACTAGCCTCCTCCCCTGTCTGCTTCGCTGTCTCTGATGCTGGCCCTGGGCTCTGCAGGGCTGTCTCTGCGGGTGGCTGCGCAGCTCTCACAGGCACTGTTCTCCCACAGGCCAAGTGGCGCCGGCTGGTGGCGTCAGGCTCCACCTCCCTGGACATGTTTGGACAGGTCAGCCTCATGACCCTGGACAGTCTGCAGAAATGCGTCTTCAGCTACAACAGCAACTGCCAGGAGTGAGTGACAGGGGGGCAGCTCCCCCAGCAGGGGGCAGTTCCCCCAGCTGACCCGAGGGTGGGAGCCCCCTCATGGGGGGAGGTCAGAGTGGGGAGAATGGGCTGCAGGGTCCCTCCCTTCCTGGCCTGGCCCCAGTGAGCCCATCCAGATTCACGGAATGGGTCCCTGAACTGGAGATCCCAGGGGGGGGAGGGTGTTACTGCAGGCCTGGGCAGGGACTCTCCAGTGGGGTGTCTGGAGGTGTTGCGGGGGGCGGGGGGAAATCAGCATGGCTGTGCAGTGCTTCTCTTGGGGGGATGATCCTGCTGCCGCATGCATCTCACTGCCAGGAAGCTCCTCACCTCAGTCCCGTCCCCCCAGAACCCTCCTCACCCCAGTTTATACATGTACTGCAGGGCCCTCATCTGCAGCTTGTACCTGTTTTACTACACATTAGTGTAGACAGGCCCCAGGCTGGCTACGGGACCTACTGGGAGCCCAGCATTTCTGTCCACAGCGTGCAAGTTCAGAGTAGACCCCATTGCCAGAAATGGGACTGAGGGCTGGGCTGGAGCCTCACCTGGCAGCGACAGGGGAACTGGCTGGTTTCCTGGCAGGCCGGGAGTCAGTTCTCACCTCTGCTGCAGTGAGGTGGCCTGTGACCCTGGGGAACCCAGGCAGGACTTGCTCACACCAGGACGTCCTGACCCATCAGCCTGCTCTGGGGAGGAGTCCGAGATCGGCTCCTGCCAAACCCACGTTCTTTCTGTCCAGCTGATGGGGAGGGGCACTTCTCCATCCCTGCCAGGCCCAGCTGTGCTCTGAACCCCACCCATCCCCCAATCTCCCATGCCCTGCTGACCTCGCTGTCCCATGGGGGTAGGTCCCCTGACACCCCAGACCCCTCGGTGCACCCAGGGAACAGGCTGCACTAGCCTGGGGGCTCCTTGGAGCCTGTCTGGGCCGTGCTGCCCCCCACCCCCACCCCCCCGTGTCTGGGGCTCCCTATGACTGGGGTCTCAGGGGAGCCAACTGAGGTCACTCAATTGGGGTGAACTGCAAAGAATGGGGCAGACAAGCCTCCAAGCTGGTGGACATTCCAATACTTAGATTTACCAAGTCAGCGCAAAACAGCTTCTGTTATAGCTCACTGGTTACGCAGAAGTCAACAACAGAGTTCCCTTAAAGCAGCCCAGCCTCAGGGCTCCACCTAGACACCCAAGTCAAATATGATGAGGATCAATGAAAATCTTATTCATCATATAGCAGAAAAGGTTCTACCAATCCCAAAGGATCGGACACGTTACCTCCCGGGTTAATGAATATTCCAGATCTTACTCAAATACACCCTTACAGCCAATTCTTATTAACTAAACTAAAATTTATTAAAATAGAAAAGAGAGAGAGAATTGGTTAAAAGAACGGTATACATACAGACATGAGTATCATTCTTGAGGTTCAGATTTATAGCAGAGATGCTGAGCTTTGTAGATGCAAAGAGTTCTTTCAGAAATAGTCCATTGGTTATAGTCCAATGTTTATATTCAGGGCGGTCCTGTCAGACCTGGGATCTCAGTCCTTGTGACTTAGGCTTCCCCTGCATGAAGCATCAAGCAGATCTGAGATAAACAGGCTCAGGACCCAACGGTCTTTTATAAAACTCCAGGCCTTCTTTGATAGGTCGGAGTCCTTAGGCCAACAATAGGCAATCAGGGCCACTTTGAAGTAGGTCCACCACCGGTAATTAGCTACCCAAATTAACATAAGGCAGTTGCCTGTTTTTCCACCATTCGCAGATGATTGGCTATACATTTCAAAGATGAATACAGCGATATCCTGCATTTATTCATTTAAATGCTAAGATGTTCTTTTGATCTCTGAATTAACAGAATACAGCATAGACAGGGACTGTTTGATGACATTGTTGACCTCTATCAATAAATACGTAAATACGTAAAACCACAAACATCATCTCCCCATATGTTTTTAAGGGCTGAATTTGAGTCGTTTATCCTGCAGGATGCTTAACCCTTTCCGGTTGTGCGTCACAGTCCCACACTGGCTGAGCCACAGCAGCCGCCAGAGACACCTGAGCTCAGTCCCCTCCCCGCCGGCCAGCCCGGAGATCCCGTGGCTGGGAGATCACACGATTGCTCTGTTGCAAGGCCCAGCCCCCCGGGATCCCTCAGCTCTGATCAGGGCGCACCTCCCGCCCCAGCCTGTCAGTCACATGCTGGCCTGTTGTGTTGCAGGACACCCAGTGACTACATCGCGGCCATCCTGGAGCTCAGTTCCCTGGTGGTGCGACGCCAGCACCGCCTGCTCCTGCACTGGGACTTCCTATACTACCTGACGCCCGACGGGCGGCGCTTCCAGCGCGCCTGCGACACCGTGCACCGCTTCACAGCCAACGTGGTGCAGCAGCGCCACCAGGCCCTGAGCCACCTGGGCAGGGAGGCCTGGCTCAAATCCAAGCAGGGCAAGACAGTGGACTTCATTGACATCCTGCTCTCGGCCAAGGTAACGTGGTGGGGGCCTGTCCCATGGGGGTGGGGAGGTCACTGATGTCCTGCTATTGGCCAAGGTAGCACAGTGGGAGGCCGTGCCCTCGGGAGCTGTGGGTTCATTGATGTCCGGGTAGGGCGTTGCCAGGTGGAAGGTGCTGTGTGATGTCTGTCATACCAGGAGTTGCCCTCCAGCCCAGCTCTCTGGGGCGGCTGAGCCAGTGCTGCCTTCCCAGCATGCTCAGTGTGGAGTGATATAAACTGCATTTGGCGACATGGGGCTGGCACCTCTCGGGAGCTCTAACACCAGAGCCAGGCTGGGCATGGGGGTGTGGGGGAGCCCACCTTGGGGCCTAGGCTGTGGGGCAGGGCAGGGGCTGCCTCTTTCCCTGGGCTGGGGTGGAGGGGAGATGGCCTAGGTCACTCCACCCCAAGATGTCCCATCCTCCCAGGGTCTGAGATGGGGAAGGCATGGGCTGGGCCCCGTGGGGAGCCAAGTTATCCGTCCAGCAGTGTGTGCTCTGTGCAGGATGAGGACGGCCAGGACCTGTCAGATGAGGACATCGCAGCCGAGGCCGACACCTTCATGTTTGAGGGTGAGAAGCCGCCCTGGGCGGGGGGGCTCTCCTGCTGACCTCACAGCCTCATGTGGTCTCCGCAGATGACATGGCTCTGGTCGGGGAGGAGGCAGGAGAGCTGGGTTCAGTCCCTGGCTCTGGGTGACCTGGGTGTGCCTTTCCGTGAAATGGAGCTAAGATAGATCTTCCCCTAGGCACTGCCAGACAGTCCCAGCAATAGAGGGGGGCGCTAGAGGGGGCAGATGCTTAGAGTCACCCCACTCGCCCCCCATGCAAGAGGGGCCTGGAGTTCCCACTGGCACTGCCAGAGAGTCACGGGGAGCAAGGCCCCAGAGGAGGTGCTGGCAGAGGGAGCTGAGCCAGGCAGGGTCCCTCCAGCCCCGGAGTCTCCACAGTTCCTCTCTGGCCCCCCGGCATCTCTCACGCTGCACTGGCCTCTCCCTGCAGGCCACGACACCACAGCCAGCGGCCTCTCCTGGGTGCTGTATAACCTGGCCTGTCACCCCGAGTACCAGGAGCGCTGCCGGGAGGAGATCAAGGACTTAATGCGGGACAAGGAGTCGGAGGAGATTGAATGGTGAGATGGCTGCTCCGGCTGCAGCGCTGGCTCTGTCCAGTGCAGTGCTGACCGCCAGCACCACAACTTCCAGGGCCTGTGTGGCCTCCCCCACCCTTTAGTCCCAAAACAGCCCCCGCCCCACCTGTGAGGGTTAGCACAGCCGCTGCCCTCCCCTCCCCCACCAGTCCATGCCTAGCGCTGGGGTCCCTTCACCTCTGCCAGCCCCCCAAACTGGAGGGCTTCCCCTGCAAGATAGGCCTAGGCTGCTCCCCAGTGCCCAAGGGCCCTGCCTCTCTGGGTTTTGATGCCCCCCCGGATATGCCCAAGGGCCCTGCCACTCAGGTGTGCATCCCCCTCCCCCGTCACTCACGGTGTCATACGTCCCCTCAGTGCCAGCTCCATGCAGATGCGAGTCTGTCCCAGCCCAGTGCCTGGCTCATGGGCTCACACTGGGCCCCTCGTGCATCCACCTCTGGGGCCAGCGCTAAGCTCTGCTCTCTGCAGGGAGGACCTGTCCCAGATGCCCTTCTCCACCATGTGCATCAAGGAGAGTCTGCGCCTGCACCCGCCTGTCACGGCCGTGTCCCGGCGCTGCACCGAGGACATCAAAATGCCCGACGGACGTGTCCTACCCAAAGGTACCAGCCTCTTTCCCTGCCTCCCAGCCAGGGGCATGGCACCAGTTCTGGGCCCATAACCCCTGAGGCCCTCAACACCTCCCTTCCTTCTCCCTTTCCTCTAACGAGGCAGTTTCCTCTCTGGCAGGGAACGTCTGTCTGATCAGTATCTACGGGACACATCACAATCCTGCTGTCTGGCCAGAGCCCCAGGTATCGCTGGTCACTCTGTTCTGTCCCTTTGGCTCTACTCCGCCCCATGGCCACCTCCAGCATGGCACTAGGGGGCGCTGTGCTGCAGGGGCGGGATTGGGGGGCTCGGTAGGGGGTGCTGTCCCCTCGCAGTCACTGCTGACCCAGTGCCCCGGCGTGGCACTAGGGGGTGCTGAAGCACCATCAGTCTAGCAGCTTCCTATTCCCAGCGATCCTCCACAGAGAGGAAGCTTCCCCCCGCTCCCGAGCTAGCCTAGATGGGAGTGAGGGTCACACCCCCATTCACTGGGCAGGGCTGGGTCACTGGGCCGGGCCCGGCTCTGAGTGTTGGATGGAGGCAGAACCATCCCCGCTGCCAGCGCATGGCCCCAGTGGGCAGCTCAGTTTTGGGGAGCCTGATGCCCATGCTGCACCTGGGTGTGGGGGCTGCCTTTGCTCCCTCCTTGGCTCAGGGACCCCAGCCCCGCCCCCCATCCTCTCTCCCCTCACGTGCCCTGTGCTTGCTGCTCCAGGTCTATAACCCGCACCGCTTTGACCCAGAGAACTCCAAGAACCAGCCCCCGCTGGCCTTCATGCCCTTCTCTGCTGGACCCAGGTAACCTGCCTGCCAGGCTCAGAGCCCCTCGCCGCACGAACTGCCTCCTCCTCCTCCCCTCCCCCCCCGGCTGCCCACCAACGAGTGGCTCCCTGTTGGCGCCCTGGCTGCAGTAAAGCATTGTGGGATACACAGGAGGTGGCCTCTGGTCAGTGCTGGGGTCAGCTGTTATTGCTGAGGATCTGTCCCTTCTCCCAGAGGGGGTTGGGCTCCCCCAGCATCTGTCTGTCCCTGTGGGCAGTGGGTTCTGGGGTGTCTGTCCCTGCTCCCCCATCCCTGCTCTCACATGGCGTGTGGTTTCCGGGCGAAGAGCACCGGCTGACACATCTGGCTCTCTCGCAGGAACTGCATCGGGCAGAACTTCGCCATGGCAGAGATGAAGGTGGTGCTGGCGCTGACGCTGCTGCGCTTCGCTGTGCGGCTGGATGAGAGCAGGCCTGTGCGGCGCAAGCCCGAGCTGATCCTGCGCAGCGAGAACGGGCTGTGGCTGCACCTGGAGCCGCTGGGGCTCAGCCGTGAGAGCCGGCCCTCCGCACCGCGCTTCTAGGGCCATCCACTCCCACCCACTGCGGGGGATCCAGCCTGCTCCACACAGCTCAGGGACCTGCTGAGTGGAGGACCAGGTGGGGATCATGGTGGGGCCAGGTCTCTCCTCTAATCTAGACCAGCCCTCTGTACCAAAGGAGGCACTCTGGGGTCCAGGCATAGGCCCCGAAAGTGCTGCAGGCTCCTTTCAGACACCAGCTGCTTAGCCCTCCCCCACCTGCCCCTGGGAGAGGGCAACAAGTGCCTTTCCCCAGCCCTGCTGGATGCCCACAGCCACCTCGTGATTCAATGTCAGAGCTAGAAATGGAGCCCAGCAGCCTGGCTCCCGGCTCGGCCCACTCACAGTCTAGGTGACCCCCGTGGCCTGCGTTCCCTGCCCCCACTGGCCAGAGTCAGGATGCCCGGAAATTCGGCCACTAGCCTAGGATGTGGGAGACCTGTGTTCAATTCCCTGCTCTGCCATGGGCTCCCTGTGTAGCCTTGGGCAAGTCACTCAGCCTCTGGCCCTGAACTCCCATCAGTGCAATGGGGCTAATGGCCCTACCCACGGGGGCTGAGGGTAAATGCAGTCGGGGGGTGAAGTGACAAATACTTATGGTGGGGCATCTAAGAACACATGGTCAATAACCCTAAATGCTATGGGCTCGTTAGTGGATCAGCCCCTGCGTTCCCCCCAGCCCAGGGCCAGCCCCCCTGTGTCCTGATGCTGTTGTCTGGAGCTGAGGGTCTGGTCTGTCTCTCACTCCCCTTCCCTGGAGGTTAAGAATCTTCCCTCCTGCCTGCTCCCCCCACTTCTGCACTCAGCAATCCACCCGCCTGGTCTGGGGCAGGAACAGCTGAGAGGCCTGTGGGCAGGTGGCTCTGTGCTCTGGCCGATCTTCCTGAGGGGCCCCCAGGGGGCCGGGTGAGAACTTCTGCCTTGGCCTGCTGTGGGTGGCTTTGGGGTGGGGCAGCAACCCAGGGGGCAGCTGCCTAACAATCGCAACTGCTGCCTGCAGTCACCCAGGGGAGTTGGGGCAGAGAACCTGTACATGCCTTTGTTTCCTTCACACAGACACACCTGCTACAGGGAACACCCACACACGCCACAGGGAACACACACACAATGGGGAATTGTACTGCCAGAGTGCCCGGGGGGGGGGAGGGGGGGGGGCTGGCTGCAGACCCAGCAGGGACCTGCTCTCTGCCACAGGGAACTCATGGTTCAACGAGACAAACAATGGTTGAGGGCAGGGAGGAGGGGGCCGGGTGTGGCCCCTGGGGCAGCTGGACCTGGAACTGGGGGACAGTTGATTTCATGATATTTCTAAGGTCATTCCGGAGCATGGCGAATTCCAAGGCCCCTGCTGCAGGGACGAGGCCACGGGGCTTTGGGATCTGGCCTTGGGGTTTCAGGATCTGGCCCTCGAATCTGGTCACTAAGCTTTGGGTTCCGTCCCCCAGCCACATGGCGGCAGGCTCCAGCCCTGGGCTCACCCCCTCCCTCCCATCTCTCCGGTCCCTATTGCCTCCTCAGGCCCCAGACTTCCACTGCATGCTCCGTTCCTTGGCCGCAGGGCTCCAGGCCCCAGGATCCGACCAAGGGTCTTCTGGCTCTGGTCCCCAGCTGTGAGATGATAGGTGCCAGCCCCAGGCTCACCCACCCCCCATGACCCCGGCCCATTCTGCCTCCTCCGGCCCTGGGTTTTGTCGACATGCTCAATCCCCTGGCCGCGGGGCTTCAAGCTCAAGCCACGGGATCCGGCTGCGGGGCTTTCGGCTTTCTGGCTCCGGCTCTTGGCCATGCAGTGGCAGGTGCAGGCTCCTAGCTCATCCCCCCCACACCATCAACTTTGGCCCCTGCTGTCCCTCCCACTGTCCCCATTGCCCCTGGGACCCACTGCCTCCTCCAGCTCCCTATCCAGTCCCCCCAGTGCCCTGGACCTCAGCTGCCTCCATACCCACCTCCCCATCCCGGGCTTAATTTGTCTCCAGGCTTGCCAGGGCTGTGTAAGTGCTGTGAAAAGTGATATTTGTATGTTTGGTAATGTCATTTTTCACAGCAGACTGAGTAGCTAGCTGGGAGTCTGGGAAAATTAACATACAAGTATCACTTTTCACAGCAGCAGATTTACTAGCTCGTAAGGCTAAAAATAACCAAAGCAACCAAAAATCAAAAGAAACTACAACAAAAAAGAGAAGAATGTGCAAAGCACCTTGTTTGCGTTTCTATTCTGCTTAGGGCCAGTAAAGAATAAAGACAACTCGACTTTATTTGTATTATTCAGTTTGCAAAAAAAAACCCAAATCCTACATAAATAAATTACACTGATTTGGACATGGGTCTGTGCATATTTGTTTATTTTCCCTAAAGTTAGTTAAATATGTTAGGAACAAGTGTCAGAGCGGCCACCAGCAAGAGTCGCTGCCGCAGGTGAGGGGCCCCTGCGGAATGGTCAGGGATAAGAAAATTGGGGCAGATGAAAGAACTGAGTGTTGACCTGCGAACGACTGATTCGTGTAACACCAGGGTTGTCCAGAGTCACAGTGAACACCTTCGTGTAGTGATCTCTAGCCGTATTCATTTTCTGTGTGGAAAAATGGAGCAGTTTATTTAGCCATCATGAACTGGTTTGCTTCATTATTAATGCATTGTGTAAACAGTGAATGGAGTCTTTGTATTCATACATTTGTGTTTGAATGGGGTGGGGGCCCAAATGTTCTTTGTGTCCAGACCCTTAATAAATTTTAAATTAAATTAAATTAAATAATGGAGATATCCTATCTCCTAGAACTGGAAGGGACCTTGAAAGGTCATCGAGTCCAGCCCCCTGCCTTCACTAGCAGGACCAAGTACTGATTTTGCCCCAGATCCCCAAGTGGCCCCCTCAAGGATTGAACTCACAACCCTGGGTTTAGCAGGCCAATGCTCAAACCACTGAGCTACCCCTCCCCCCTGAAAAGTAATATATGGAGACATACCTATCTCATAGAGCTGGAAGGGACCTGTTAGGTCATCAAGTCCAGCCCCCTGCCTTCACTAGCAGGACCAAGTACTGATTTTGTGCCAGATCTCTAAGAGGCCCCCTCAAGCATTGAACTCACAACGCTGGGTTTAGTAGGCCAATGCTCAAACCACTGAGCTATCCCTCCCCTTAACCCGTCTCTGCCTGCTGTGACCCAGAGACTAGCGCCCAGTCACTGGCAGGGAGACTCTGGGCAGCTGAGGGGGGCGAGGGGCAGCAAAGGCCCAGGTCTCATTGCCCAGTTCTTTGTGTTATCACCTCCCCTCTGCCCCCCATCTTCTCTGCCTGCTGGGTGTGACAGCAGCACCCATATGGAGTAACGCCACCTGCAGCAGGGAACCTTGGGCCGGGTTGTCCAGGCATTTGAACCTGGTGGAAAGGCTGATGTTTAAACAACCCAACTGCTGAAAAATAAAACCAGAATAACAGAAATCTTGTATGTAGCTGCTTCTAAACCACGTAGGCAGGAGCCCAGCCCCAGCTGTGCTGCCTGGACAAAAGGGCCGGGGGTTAACCCCCACCCCCATCCATGTGAGTCTACTGGGGTGTGGGGGGCACTCACTTTGACAGTGGGTTACACAGCTATTTACTAGATGGCAGCAGGATATTGGGGCTCAGGAGTCTTGGGTTTTGCATCTGTCTTGGGGAGGAGACAGGAATCACAGCCGATATTTGGGTGGCAGGACGCCAGGAGTCTATTTCTGGCTCTAGGAGGGGAGTGGGATCTAATGGTTTATAGCATCAGAGATTTCAAGGCCAGAAGGAACCACTGTGCTCAGCCAGTCTGCCCTCCTGCAGAGCACAGCCAGAGATCTGTTAGAGACCTGTTAGACAGAGACCCTCAAGCTTTATTTAAGAACTCCGGGTGATGGAGAATCTGCCCTCCCCTTTGAGTCAGCTGTTCCTAGGGTTAAGTCCCCTCCCTGTTAAACATTGTCACCGTATATCCAATGTGACTTTGTCTCACTTCAGCCATTGGTAGCCATAGGTATTAGCCTGGTAAGGCATAGGCATATGGTGAGGCAGAAATGCAATGAGCCGACACTTCTCAAGGCCTGGAAGATAATAGCTTAGTTAAATTAATTAGAGTGTAAGGCCCCAAAGCCTTAGAGTCGGGGCCAGTTCTAGCTTTTTTGCCACCCCAAGCAAAGAAAAAAAAAGGGCGGCCAGAATGCTGCCCCTTAAAATGTGCCACACGTACTTCCTCTGCTGGTGCCTAGAACCGGCCCTGTTGGTACCTCGGTGCGGTGAGAGTCTGGTGTCTCCTTGGGATACACCACCAGTGGCAACCCCAGGGAAGCCACGCCTCTTTGCTACACAGCACTACAAATTGTCTCAACCTAAATTTCGTTAATGTACAGCCATCGCAGTTATTACATTGCTTGTGCGTGTGCACACTGCACTCCTTGAGTCAGCGGTGCGTGTCCTCACCAGGAGTGCTTGTATCAATGCAGAATGCACCATGAATCCCATGCAGTGCTACAGGCTGGGGACTGATTGGCTAAGCAGCAGTTCTGCAGAAGAGGACCTAGGGGTTACAGTGGACAAGAAGCTGGATATGACTCCTTGTTGCTTGGCCAGCTCCCAGTACCAAAAGAAAGGGGAAGGGTCGATGGGGAGAGGCCAGTGCTCCAGGTCAACCTGATTGACAAGGCAGGGCAGGCTAATAAGGGAGTCAGAAGGCCAGGGGGGTCCTTTCCATGTGAGCTGAAATTGCCTGTGTCATAGAAATTTCTGTCTGTTCCAGCTGAGGAATAAGGAGAGACGGACACAGATAGTCAAGCAAGGAGCCCCGGGAGGGGTGATCTGTTTATTTCAATTGCAATTGGGTTTGAGCTCATAAGTCAGCAAGAACAAAGAAAACACGTACACCAAAGCATTATATGCAGTTGCTTATGATAATCTATCGCTCTATGATTGGCCAAAATTTGCCATCATTACCATACATAATTAGCAAGCTACATGTATCTGCCCCTCTTATGACCCCTTATTGTTCATCTGTTTGCCCCCTCCTCCTTGCTTATTTTGCAAACTAAGTGGTTAGCTATCTACAGGACTCAGGCACAGAAAGGTCCATTGTCTCCAGGTTTGGAGTTTCGCTACATTTCCTCTTGATGGAACTTCCTGAGGTAAGACAACCTATAGCTGATGTTTTCCCTTCTTCTTTCTCCCATGTGTATGTGACAAATTTGCCCCCTGGCAGTTAAGCAGAATAATTTTATATCACCTGGAACAGAGTGGGGCTGAGCTAAGGAGAGATCATGAGCCTGAGCTGAGCTGGGGAGCAGAGCCAGAGCCAGAGAGAACCAGAGATGCAACCCAGGGAGCAGATCCATGCTGGGAGCAGGGCCACAGAAGCAGCCCAGGGAGCAGACCTGTGCTGGGAGCAGAGCTGCAGCAACCAGAGCCAGAGGGGCCAGAAAAGAGCCCATGGAGCTGGAGGCAGAGCAGCAGCAGTGCTGGGGCTGGAGCTGGAGCAGTGAGCACTGTGGGGAGCGAGGGGGGAACCTGGACAGCGGGTGCAGCGCAGGGAGATGCCCCCAGCCAAGAGGCCTTGCAGGCCACACTTGGAGGGGGATCATAACCCTGACAGGGGGACTGACCCTGGGAAGAAGGTTCCTGCCACCTAGAGCCAGAGGGCGTGTGGCCAGCACCAGAGCCTGCCTGCCTTACCTGGTTCTAGCAGGTTCCTGATTACTCTAGTGCAGCCCCTGCTCTGGTCACTCAGGGAACAGAAAACTACTCATCCAGTGACCAGTATATTTGCCCTCTGCCAGACTCCTGTACCCCACTGGTCTGGGTCTGTCACAATGGCTAAAGCTTGCTGCTGAAGCTTCACTCCTCCACTGCAAAAGAAATCTAACTTTCTTTCTTCTGCTGCATATTAGCTCCTTGGGAATGTTCCACCTTTCTTTGTTATGACCATTGGTGTTTACATTTATAGTCACTGGTTTGTATACCCTGTGACGGGTTGGATCACAGAAACCTCCTTGGGAGCTGCCACCCGATGTGCAAAAGACTACCCCTGCTTTTGTTTTCCCTGCCAGCTCAGGACTTTAACACCCTGTCTGGCTCTAACACAGACCCAGGGTCTGAATCACTTGCCCCAAAGCTGCAGGTTTACCTGAAGACAGCTCACAGTAGTGTGCTTGTCTTTAACACTCAGATACCCAACTCCCAACGGGGTCTAAACCCAGATACATCCGTTTTACCTTGTGTGACAATGCAGTTCTGGCGGAACCCAACTGAGAGTGCCAACTCAGGACAAATTGCTCAAACAGGGCAGTTACAGCCCAAGGCTGGGTTTTTTCCACCTCTAAGGCAAACCAAACCAGCCAGACTAAGAGGACTTCGGTCTCAACCCCCGGCTAACCGCAAGTCTCACAAGCAATCTCCTTAGATTTCCCAGTATCACCACCAGTACCACTAGTTATGGGGACAAATGGTTATGAAAACCAATACCCAAATAAAAGAAAAAAGGTTCTCCTGATCCCAAAGGACCAAGCCCCAGACCCAGGTCAATATACAAATCAGATCTTGCCCACAAATCACACTGTTGCCAATCTTTTAGAATCTAAAATCTAAAGGTTTATTCATAAAAGGGAAAAGATAGAGATGAGAGTTAGAATTGGTTAAATGGAATCAATTACATACAGTAATGGCAAAGTTCTTGGTTCAGGCTTGCAGCAGCAATGGAATAAACTGCAGGTTCAAATCAAGTCTCTGGAATACATCCCCCGCTGGGATGGATCCTCAGTCCTTTGTTCAGAGCTTCAGTGTAGCAAAGTTCCTCCAGAGGTATGAAGCAGGATTGAAGACAAGATGGATATGAGGCATCCACCTTATATAGTCTTAGAGGGATTAATACAAGGGAGGGAGAAGAATTATTCCAGCTTAGTACTAACGTGGATACAAGAACGAA